AATCTAGTTAATCATGCACCACATTGTAGTATACGCATTGTCACAACTTGCTAACAGTTACCTTTGTTTTGCAGCCTATCCTAGTCTTCATGTCGAAGGTTGATGGGAAGTTTCAGTTCAGTCCTATCAGCGTTAACTTTTTGACAGAGGTTGCAAAAGTTATTTTTGCCATTGTAATGCTAGTAATCGAGGTTAGTTTGTGTTCATTCATGCTTTCCTCAAGAGTATGTGCTTTTATTCATGCTGGGTGTGTACAGCCCTGCTGTGAAATATCAATCTTTTTCACTTATGGTTTGGGGAGCTGGGAAAGTATTGTAAGAAATTATTTTCAGTAGACCAGTGACTTCCATGTAGCTCTCATCGTGTGGAAGCGTTTCCCCTAACTTTATTACTATTCTATTTTGCAGTCTAGAAAACAAAAGGTGGGGGAGAAACCGCTTCTGTCACTTTCTACCTTTGTACAGGTGATTTTATCTTGTCTAAAAAACAACACATGTACCTGTGCTCATATATGATACTTGACTTCTGGTTCTCATCTTAGACAAGCATGGTGTTTTTTTTTTGTTTCTATTCATTTACATTTCCTTTAGAGAACCACTGCTCATTTTTTTGGTTAATCTTTGTGTCCTACTGCCTTGTTTCATCTTTCCTGTATTATATAAATGTATTTTTTATCTATGGAAACTGTGCTTTATATTTCTTTTTCCCCTTTTTGAGCCATGACACCTGATCATTTGGTTCTTACATGTTTTCTTGTGTAGGCAGCTCGTAATAATGTACTCTTAGCTGTTCCGGCTCTCCTATATGCCATCAACAACTACCTAAAGTTTATCATGCAGGTAAAGTTCATTGAACTTGCTGAGATAACATTTACTTGTATGTACCCCTGTATTTCATGCTGCAAACACTTTTGCGTGATATACATTTAGAACTTAAAGTGCTATACTTTTTTGTCTACTTTATTAAGTTATTTCTGTTAAAAGATACACTTTTATGTAAAAGAATTTCCGTCAAATTACGTGAACGGTACTAGTATCACCTTATTGTACCATACTGATTTATCTCTTGAAGATATTTTTTCATGGCTGTTTTACCTGTGTCTTTGCTCTTTCTCCCTGTCAATAAAGGATAAAGATAAAGGCATGTTAACAGATGAATGAAACATTTTAATCGCCTAGTTTTCAAGTTTCATTTGTCTTTATAATATCAAGTCTATCATATCCTGTTACATATTGGACATTTCATGTGGTATTGTGTTCACTAGCTTTTGGTCTTGCTGTATGATGTTCTTTTGTACTTCCAACGCAGTTATACTTCAACCCCTCAACTGTGAAGATGCTAAGCAACCTGAAGGTACTTGCTAGTGTACTTCCATCTTCACATGTTTTGTTCTTGTACCATGTGTGAGTACATGTGCATCTGTGTCTTAGTGAGTGCACACATCTAATTCCTTTGCATGAAAAAAACAAGGTTGCTAATATTGCTACTCTTTGACGTCCAATCCAGGTGCTGGTCATTGCTGTTCTCCTAAAAATTATCATGAGAAGAAAATTCTCTATAATTCAGGTAAGACTGATGTCATCATTGGATTATCATTGCATTTTTCTTTGAGGAAACATGTTCCATTGATAGCTTGATGGTAACATCATAATCTTAGTTTGGCTGATTGTACACAACCAAAAACATTGTCTCATTTATGTGTTTTAAGTGGAACACTTATGGCTAGTATAGTAGATCCATTTTTCTTCAGTTTTTTCATGGCCTCTGTACTATTTTGATAAAGAAAAGTTATCTTGGCAATGTCTAATCCTCCCTGTTTTATCGTATGGTATCAGTGGGAGGCCCTTGCCCTATTGCTTATTGGAATCAGTGTCAATCAACTACGCTCTATACCTGAGGGAACCAATGCTTTTGGTCTTCCAGTCACCGCTATTGCATACGCATATACGCTAATTTTTGTAAGTTTGTACAGATTGGTTTCATCTTTTTATTTATCTTCATATATCTGAACAATTGGTGGATGCAGAAGCTCATGTATACACATTCCTGTAAATTTTTAGGTTTCTGTCCCATCGTTTGCCTCTGTCTACAATGAGTATGCTCTAAAAAGCCAGTTTGATACAAGCATATATCTTCAGGTGATTTCTCTTTTAAATAAATTCAGCTGCCTTTCCTAATTTTTACCTTTATGTGATATGGAAATTAAACACCATTTCTCTACCATGTTGTTTCCTCAATTTCTTGACCTCTTGTCTTAATTTCTTGACCATGCTTTCTCTTTATTCCACTAAACATTTACGTAATTTGCAGAATTTGTTCTTATATGGTTATGGTGCAATTTTCAACTTCCTTGGTATCTTAGGGACTGTCATATTTCAAGGTACAGTATCTTATGTGAAAAGATATTTCTTTTTCTACTGATAAGTAAGGCATTAAGCAGCGGTAAAATATGGGCACTGGTGCCACAATTTCCTTAGGCACATTACCAGTGTTATTTCATACTCCTCCCGTCTCAGGATAGTAGGCACAACTCAAAAAACGCTAAGACCAAGGAGCATCTTAATTACCGCATGAGTCTCTTCAGTTCCGTCTCTAAATAAATGTTGCCCCTTCACTTCCACCTCCAAATATAACTGCAGAAACGTCACCGTTAACCAAATCGCCTGGCCCGCGCGCATGCATGCGCATGGAAATTTTCTCCCTGGCTACTCTAACTGACGTGCGCTAACGAGACGGGAGTAGTACTAGAAGTCCAACAACCAGCAGCAGTAAATTCTGCATGCAAGCTGAGCAAGCTCCCTGTATCCTGGGACTAGCAAGAAAAACAGTTACGCCTACTATCATGAGACGGAGGGAGTAGACTATATGGGCAGCCAATGGTGTCTTGCTTAGAGCTTTATGTATTGATGAGTTTGTTGGGTAGTGTCAATTTGTAATGCACAAATGCTGCAATGATATGCAAACCCGGAGCTGAGAATCATGTGTTTATGTTTGGTTTGTGGGTTGTGACTGTTGTTTATTGCAGTATGAGGTATGAAGTATGATGTACTATCTCCTGTTCGTTTACAGGCCCAGAGAGTTTTGATATCTTTCGAGGGCATTCAAGGGCAACAATATTTCTCATTTGTAACAATGCTGCTCAAGGAATTCTCTCTTCTTTCTTCTTCAAGTATGCAGGTAACAGAAGATGTGCCCACAAATCTCACTTTTGTGATACTAGTTTGTCTGTCTTTTTTGTCCATTATGTCCTCTTACCTCATAGTTCTGAATGATTGACTGGAATAATACTGCAGACACTATTTTGAAGAAGTACTCGTCAACTGTTGCCACAATTTTCACTGGTCTAGCTTCGGCTGCATTTTTGGGGCAACCCTTGACCGTTAACTTTCTCTTAGGCATCTCAATAGTATTTATTTCAATGCACCAGGTAACTGTTTCTTTTTATTCTTTAGATTGTTTTCCCTCAACTAAACTTATATGAATGCTTTTTCTGTTCAGTTTTTCTCTCCACTAGCAAAAGTCAAGGATGTAAAGCCAGCTGGAACAGTTGAGCTGGGAGATACACAAAATCATAGGTAAAGAGGCTGAGAAAAATGTTATTTCATACCTGATTCACTGGTTCTCATGGCTATTTCAGATGCTACCAAATAAATTCGATATGGTAAAGGAGCACAGCATAATAACTAAAATATTAGCATGCATTGTTGATACCCGCTTAATGTTGCCCAACATCTAGCCTAATAAGATGATTTCTGTTTCACAGGTCCTCTGAGTCTTCTTTTGTAAATATGACTGCTGGTGCCGCTGACGATGTAAGTGACTCATTTTTTGACTGAATAAATCAAGAATTGACATCTTTTTGTGGAGGTGGTCTCTAATGTCTATGCTGGCACTGGTTTCAGGCAAGGCATCTTAGCGCAACTGATGAGAGAAAACCACTGCTGCCAATTTGAGATTACATTCAAGGTACATCTCATGCTTATAATCTTTTGTTTGTATGAGAGACATTGGTGACCTGCATGTAAATGATAATTTGATGGCACTGAAAAATATAAACCTACTTTGCTGGTATAACAGTACAACAGTTCATCTACATGTTGAAAGTCTTTTTAGCAGTGCACTTTAAACTTACATAGGAACATCTCATTCATAAGGATTTTTATGAAGTCGTTTTATTTGGTTCTGCAGGTTGGTATAGAAGAAATTCTTTTTGCCGAGAGTAGAACACATGCTCTTGTCAACTGTATAAGCAAAAGAAATATCTATATATGCTGAATTCAAGCCACCTTGTTCCTCTGTTTTCTTGTTTTATACCCCCACATTTGGGGCCAATATATGGCAGTAGGGCCTTATACACAACTAATGTACTAATGCTTATTATGTACCATAATTCTTTCCCCTCTTGTTCGGGGCAAAATGATAGTGTACAACTTCTGTTGACGATTTTTTTAAAAGAAATCGACCTGCGGCGGGCAAGACAGTCCGGGCATTGTGTTAAGAAGATTTTCTCGTGCAGGTCAGAGAAAAACCAGCTGATTTAGTGACCAGCTCCGTCCTGCAATTTTTTTTTTTTTTTTCCTGTACCTCTTCACAAATTAAAAAAAAAGGGCGTATCCAGTGCAGAGAGCTCCCGCTCTGGGCGGGGTCTGGGGAAGGGTGTCAGTGGCAAGCCTTACCCTCGCCTGTGCAATGCGAGGAGACCGCGACTCGAATCTGGGACATTCCGGTCATAGACGGTAAGACTCTACCGCTTGCACTAGGCCTACCTCTTCACAAATTATTCACAGAAAAAAAAAAATTGTTATTACAAACTAGCCCATTGTTTCATGCATGGCCGTAACCGTAATCGTTCAGTGCTGCTTCCAAGCTTGCATAGTATCCATAGACTGCCTACAGATATAACCGCTGCTCAAACATGGCCAGCTTACATAACATATAGAACAGCCAGACATGCATGATATTCACATCAGCTACAGTGACAAAACTTGGCATGCATCAGATCAGACGACGCCCTGCTGGTCTCGCAAGACGGCGTAGTTGATCACGCGGGCGACGGTGCCCATGGACGGCCGGAAGGTGGGGTCGTACTGCAGGCACTGCACCGCGATTCGCCCGAGCTGCAGGCGACAGCCAGGTCGACATGGTTAGGTTCTGGCGCCATGCCAATGGCTCGCAAACCCTACTACTACTGGAAGAAAAGTTTTCGTGTGTAAAAGACTAAAAGTTGTATATTATATTATATGGATCGAGAGTGAGACCTTGAGAGCTCCGGCAGGAGGATACTGATCACCAAGCTTCGGATCGATACATTCCTGAACCCTGTCTTCCGTCAGCATCGGAGCTGCCTGATGCACCACCATGATCAGGAAATCGTCAGACGTTTTTGCGATTTGGTGACTATTATTAACAGATACGTAACAGAAGAGTACTATGTGTAGCACAGTAGCAGCATCGTTTTTCGAGGACAAGACCGATTCTGCATTTCTGCTCTTGCTGCTGTTCTCGTGTTGAACTAGATCATGCGGAGTACTGTACCAAAGACATCATAGCTACTGCCTACTTGATTTCCAATAATCACCATGTTCGTTTGATCGTATCAGTCATGATATAATGTTTTTCTCTCACAATAAAACAGCATCAGCCGGCTTATAAGTCACATAAACGATCAAGCGAACAGGGTGATTATTGCTTATATATCTCTTGGAGGGCAAGCTCCATCAATTTTTAATCTGGGGGGCTAGAACTTTCTTTCAGGTCTTCTTGAAGCTGAACAAACAAAACACATTTTGATCAATGTGACTGAATGTCACCTAAATCTTCCACTTGTGTCTAGGAAAGCACCTCTTTCGATTCTCAGCTCGTTAGGTAAGAGAATGGTTGATAATTAGGAGGAAAGACTAACTGGCTGCAATTATTCCAATTTGGTTTAGCGTTTCTTTTCATTGTTTGATTGATGTGGTCTAGCATTTTGGTTACCTTCAGAAATCCGTAACCAATAATGGTCTCAGGGTCAGGGGTGGGTGACCTACAAGTACGACTAACAAATTCTGACCCTTATTTTGCTACTGTGTAGACGGGGGGCGACTTTGATAATTCTTACCCAGTTCACCAGGCTTCGCTGGCCCTGCGGCAGCGTCCGGTCCAACGGCTTCCTACCCGTCAGGAGCTCAAGGAGAACGATGCCGAAGCTGTACACGTCGCTCTTGTCCGTCATCTGCCCCATCATGGCGTACCTGAATGAACAACCCCAAAGGCCCAAACCATGAATAATCCGTCAGAAACCACCCGACCCCAAACATCATCATCAGCAGCAGCAGCAGCTGCGCAGCCACACACAAATTGAAGGCACGTACTCGGGCGCCTGGTAGCCGAAGGAACCGAGCGTGTGCGTGGAGCGGTTGAGCCTGGCCATGTCCGCGGCCTGGCTGAACATGTTGTAGTCGGCGATCTTGGCCCTGAACCCCTCGAACAGCAGCACGTTGGTGGAGCGCACGTCCTTGTGCGTCACCGCCGGCTGCACCATCTCGTGCAGGTACTCCAGCCCCCTCGCCGCGTCCAGCGCGATGTGCACGCGGTGGATCCAGCTCAGCACCGGCCTGCCGGCGCTGCCCTGCTCCGGCGGCGGCAGCCCCAGCACCTCCCTGTCCCCTGCGTGGTTGGTTGGTTGGTCACGGCGCGCCGCGCATCAACCGATAGATCGTCAGCGTGGACTCGACTGACTGTGAAGGCAGCCAGTGCTAGTTGCTGGCGATCGAAGAGTGGACCGATCTCTCTGTATTGTACCCACCGTGAAGGACGTCGTGGAGGGTGCCCATGGTGGCGAACTCGTAGACGAGCACGCGGAGGTCGCCGCTGATGGTGTACCCGAACAGGCGGACGAAGTTGTCGTGGTTCAGCCTCGACGCCACCCCGAGCTGCTTGAGGAAGACGACGTTGGACGCGTACTTGGAGGGCTTCTCCAGCCGCTTGACGACGGCGAGCCTGCCGCTCCGCAGCGTGGCCTGGTAAACCTTGGCGTAGGACCCCTGCCCGATCAGCTTCTCGCTGGAAAAGGACGCGGTGATCTCGTTCAGCTCGCGCAGCGTCACCTCCGGCACCTCCACCGTGATCACCTCCTCCGGGACGGGGCCGCCCGATCCTCCTCTCCGTTTCTCTGAAGCGAAGCACAAGTTTTCGGCGCGTCAGTAACTTATGGTGTGGAGGTGGTAAACTGCAGAGTGCTTGGGTTATCAAAGCGTTTGGCGCCGATGTTCGTTCCAAGGGTTCGTCGTGCTGCCAGGTTTCAGAATTTTCATACCAGAGCAAGGAACACACACTCACACAAAAGCAAAATAACGCTGCTTTTTTTTGTGCTGACTGCAAAGCATGAGGATAATCCTATTAGAACCTAAGGGGCCAGACTATCAGAGCAAACAAGAACAAAAGAGTGACGAAAAAACAAGGTTTCTGAATCGAAAACTGTACTGAACACACACAAGGACACGGCCGTGACGGCCCCCAAAAAGCAAAACGGAGCGGAACGAGACCAGCAAACGTACCGCTCCCAGGGTCCGCCGGGAAAGCGTACGAGTTCCTGGCCTGCTTCCTCCCGATCCTCGGGAAGCAGCCGACGTTGCCGCCGCCCCCGCCGTCGCCGAACACGCTCTTGGCGTTCTCCCACCACCCCATCGCCGGCGCACGCAACGCACAGCACGCTCGCACGCGGTCGCAGCTGTGGCTCCTACTCTTATCGCTGAGCCGGAGCCGGGACTGCTCGGTGGTTGCAGAGGTTAGCTCCTACCGTTCTGAGCGAGACGCAACGACCGGTGGCTGTCGGCTTATGTATCTCGCACGGAATCCGCTGATGGTTCCGCTGAATTTTTCTCTACCCGTCCCGTCCTGTGGACGGCAACGCTGCAGGAGCGAGCGAGCGAGAGAGAGAGCAGCATCAACTCAGAGGTAGACAAAGTTCCGAGACGAGACCGGGAAACGGGCGGGCCAGCGATGTGAAGCACGGCCGTGACATCTCGGCTCGAATTTTCTCGGTCGCGGGGCCCAGCGACGGGGAGCAGCTCCGGCCTCCGGACGGACCGTGTGTGCGTGTTTGGACCAAGTCCGCAGTCCGCGCTCACCTCTGCACCCACGCCCGACGCCTTACGTCGTTTGCTCGTCTCATCCTGCCCGGTCGGTGCCGGCCCCCGGGAGGGGGCGTTGTCCAGCTACTCCAGCGCTGCAGCGGGCGTGGCTGATGCAGCGACATGGCTAACGTGTCGCTGGCGTGCAGTGCCTTTGAGTTCGATGGGCGCTCCGACTGACGCGCTGAGACCGTGCCACGGAATGCGCTTGGTCATCGCGGCACGACATGTCACGTACGGCACGGGTGCGCGGCCGGAGCGGCCCCCGCGGGCGGTGACCGCGGCGAAAACTACTTCTCCGACGCGTCTGCCGTAGTGCCGCAGCCTCTAAGAAGGCACGGGTGGGCTGAGCCTGGGCAACACACAGAGGAAGAGGACGGCCGGGCGGTTTGCTCTGGCACAGGGCGCACGGCCCGGGCCAGCGCGGCGCGTCGTGTGCGACGGTGACTGCGGTCCGCGGCCATGGCATAGCAGGTCGCCGTCGCGGCCTCTGATCGAGTTCTCTGATATGATGAGGCTGGAGTTCGTGCCGTGCCGATGCCGGATCGGCTACATTTCGTTGGCATCATTGCGGCCGCTCTGAATAGTAGTAGCTTCCAAGATATATTAGATTTGCGCGTTTTCTTTCCCTGTTCCGTTGGTGAGCAGTGTGTTTCTCAAATTGGTTGGCGGCGTGCAGGATCAGCCTCCAAAATCCAGTCCTCTTTATTATCTCGAAAAAAAAAAGATACTGTAAAAGAAAAGAAAAGAGTTTGTCTATCTAACACCTGGTTGTTTTAGCACCGGGGAACACACGAATTTTTTTCCCGATGGACACTGTTCATCTTCATCCTCTCCTCTTCCTTCTTAGCACAAATCACTGATCACAAGTAACAATTTTTTTCTATGAAAGGACGAAGATAGATCTTGATGGTGGCGCCGGAGTTGAGGAAAAAGAAGGTCGCCGGACTTGAGGAAGATGCCGGGCGCGGCGGTGGCAGGCGCGGCCGTGAGGCGGTCGGCATAAGCATGACGGTGCGGCGGGATGATGGGCGAAGGTATGCGGTACCAAGCAGCGCTGATGCAGAAGGATGACGTGGCGCGCAGCGGGCGGCGGACGGACGTGCGGTGCCGCGGCCAAAAAAAATCATGTGCCACCGAGTGATAAAACACATGGTCATTGAATAACATTTCTGAAAGAAAAACTCCAATCCTCTTAAATGAGCGCCAAATCCAACATGGTCCTTGACTCCTTGTACACGCTCGTCGGTGATCCAAACTCTGCAACTCCACGCTGGCACATGAATTTCCGTGCGATGCTTATGGATTTATTTTGCAGACAAACAATTCCATTCATTCATGTTAAAACGATAAAAAAACACTGAGGCCCTATTATTGGCTAATTAAATCATTGAGCCATTGTGAATGAATCAAAGCTCAATCAGTTAGATCCAATGTTTTCAGGTCGTCTAGTCGAACCTAGTCGCTATTGGACCGACCAGGCGACTAATCGTGATTAGTCGTCGACCAGGCCGATTAGTCGAGCCTAGTCGACCCTGGTCGTCCATATAATCGTCCTATGCATCAGGACATATACATACTATATATATACCTATATGTACTATATAGTGTACACAATATAGCAAGCATCAAGACTACATTAGTGTTTAGCAAGTGACTTACTTGTGGGAGTTGTTTTCTTGCCTTTTCTTCATCGTCCAACCTGTCCCAAACTCCATTCCTTTATCGATTTGTTCTTCGGAAGCCTGCAATACCAAAGAACACCATAATTAGCAACACTAATGTAGTCTTGATCTTGAGTTATTGACACATATCAATAGCAAAGACTGCAAAAGAGCAAATATCTAGCATTTAGCAGACCATGGCAGCCACATCGGCAAAGATATTACATAACCAAATTAGTTTAGTATAGATAAGCAAATTAATTTAGTACGATAAGCAAAAGTGTTCAACACAAAGTCGCAAACATCAACACACAATAGTCCAACAAAAGTAGGCAACTAGTAGCCATCTAATAAAGCAAATCATCATTGAAATGGAAGCCTCCATGTCCATCTCTAGATTCTTTGTTGGTGGTGGTGCGATTCTTCATCCTCATCCATAGGTGTTCTTTGAATCGATTCTACTTCCCGATCTTGTTCTTCATCATCTATTTCATCAAGATCTTGAGCCACTTTGTGTTCCTTGGACGCTTCCTAGCATAAGTACGCCTCACGAGGGGGAATAGCAAGACTGAGCAGCAGCAGCCCTAGGCAAGTTACGACCCTCTAGACCTCGAGTTGCACCAATAGCATCATCCACATTAGCCCAAGTAATAGCATTGGCAGCACCTTCATGAACTGGTTCACAATTGTCATTGACCCATTCATTTTCCCAATGAAATTCATCAAGCAAGAGTGGATTTGATCGCTTTCCTTTGGAACCCAGCTCTCTAATGTTTTTAAATCTGTTTTCCATCTTGCGGTTGTGAAATGACATATACCAACTTATTTAACCTTTTGTGCTCTAACGGTTTCTCTTTTTGTATGGATCTACACAAAAGATTGCAGAATTAGATACCATACTCAATTACTTAGCACAACAATAGCTGTAGCATAGCACTTACGAGAGAAAATTCACTCCAATTACGCCGCATCCGGATGCGAGAACAACAAAGGCTAACAATCCTTTTTGCTAAACATTGAAGTTCATATGTCAGGCCACCATATGCACCCCACCAAAGAACTGCAAATTCCATTCCAAAGTATAGAAATCCATTATTAGTTCATTGCTGATATCTTTCGTAGAAAAGGTAAGGAAATAATTATATAAAATTTCAGATTGGAGAACTTACTAGGATTTTTTCTATCTCATCTCTTATTGCTCCACGGCTTTGAGAAGGATTGGCCTTCAGACCTCTCATAGTCATCACGCTTGCTTGCTTATCTTGTTTTGGTCCTCATCATCACTCACCATCTTCCACATAACTTGATTAAACATAATTCTCGATTTTGTGGCTTGTCTCCTATCTTTTTCCCTTATGGCAAAGTACTTGCTTGGATTCAAGTATAGGGCTGCTCCATCTGTTCTTTGCTCCATTTGGTTTTCCCATCTCTTGTCAAAATATTCTAGTACCTCTTTGAGTAAATTTGGTTTGTCTTTCAAAGAATCCTTGATTGCAGCCTTTGCATGATCCCATGGCTGCCATAATCTCGTGGAGCCGCTTGGTGTCTCATCTCCATCTGCAATCCTAAGAGCAACAAGAAGTGTTTGTGTAGCTCTTATGCATAATTCCACTTTATTCCAAAATGGCATTGAAAGGATAATGTTCTCAACTTGCGGCCCTTCAGAAAGTGCTAGAGAAATTGGTAGCTTGCTATTCCTCACTAACCACTAAATTCCTCAATCCAGTCTTGTTCTTATGCATGCTTGCCAATGTGAGAAATGAAGTGGCAAAGCGAAGTTATAGCTGGCCTCACAAGATCTCCTCCAATCTTATCTCGCATGAGATCTAGAATCCTCCCATGCTTGTACATGAACCTACACACCTTCTTTGCCATGTTGATGCAAGTGTTGAATTCTTTGATCTTCCCAATGTCCTCTAATAACAAATCCAAGCAATGGGCAGCACATGGTGTCCAAAATAGATGTGGGATCCTCTCCATTAAAAGCCTCCTCGCACCTTGAAGTTGGCTCCATTGTCAATGACAATCTGTACCACATGTTCCTTCCCAACCTTATCTATTTGCTTCTCCAACAAATCAGCCAACAATGGTCCATTTGCTATCTCACTTGAAGCATCAACAGACCCTAGAAAGAAAGTCCCTCATTGGATCTGTTAGCAAGGAAATTGATGAGATGGCGATGGCTTGTGTCATCCACCCATCGGACATTATGGTGCACCATATTCCTTCTAAGCCTCCTCATGCTTCTTCCTCAACTCGATGTCCTGTTCACAGCCTTTTCAAGCAAGTGGTACCCTTATATCATGATATGATGGTGAGCGGTACCTGGGCCGTATTGTCCAATTGACTCAATCAAAACTTCCCAGACTTCTAGAATTAATGACTTTCAATGGAATGCGATTCTCATAGAAGAAATCGCAACATGATCATCAACAACTACTTTGGCCTCCTTACTTTTCTTTGTGCAATGCTCAAGTGTAGGTTGACTATGCTTGGATCTGTGCCTCTCTTCAACTACTTCTTCTTAGGTGACTTGCAAAGCATTGAGCTCAATTGATCCGGACATTTTTGAGTGGTGGGTTTGGTGCAAAGAAGGATGTTGAAAGAAGAGATGGCGACTGAGCAATCCTCTTCTTTTGCTTGACTTTTGTTCCGAGCTTGGTTTGCATGCAATTTCTTTGGTTCTCTGCGCAAAGATGGCATCATCTTGTTGCTCTTCATCTTCACCTAATGTAGGATTCAAAGCTAGAATAGTTCTTGAGTTCTTTTTCGAGTAATCACCATCTCCTTCTTAACTACTGAGCACTAGGACATCCAATTGCATCTCCATACCCCCAAGCAAGGTCTTTGTTTGAATCTTTTATTTCGAGAGGGGACAATCTTTTTGCAA